TTAGTGTTTGTATAATACAAAACAAAAAATGTGGATAAAATAGCTTTGGGTGAATGACCAAATTATCCGGCTATAGGAAATTAAAGCTGAGGTGATACAGTGAGTCAAATGTTGACTTCTGAAATGTCTTTCTTCCCTAAATTATAACAATTAGGAGTAAGAAAAAACACATGAGATTCCAAATATTATTTTAAATTTTGCTGACATGAACATATAAGACTAAATAGGGAGATGACACAAAGCCCACCCAGGGGTGGGGGTAGTGGAGGAGATAATTTGGTGAAGAAAGCATAATAATAGTACAGGTGTAACTCATCTCCAACAGTGGCATATGACTAAAGCCCAAAACAGTTATAATAGAGAACACAAAACATAGACTAATACCTTTCATGACTAATAGAAAACATCATAGATTTTTCCTCAGAAATTTATAGAGTTAAATAATATCTAGCTACTTTAGTACCACTTTTTCTAGTTTGTTTTTGTGCAGAAAACTGGCTATAGTTAAATTCCTTCTCCTCAATCTACCCTCATTGAGAAAGAAATATTTCAAAGCACAAAAAAACTAATTTATCCCTTTTGACAACTTAATAAAAAGATGACAATTTACTCACAACTTATCATCAAATGTGGAAAAACATGGTCTAGATAGAAACTTTCAACAGCTCATTCACCATTCCACACGCACAATATTTTATGTCAAGAAGTGTGCCAGGAGATGGGAAATGGGGTTTACTGGAAAGGGTAGAATTCCTCTCAGGGTGTGCCCTTGGGCGACTAAGGAGACATTACTAACCAGGTGCATACAGAGTGACACAGGTGCTATGAGAAAGAGAAGCCTGGGGAGATTACAGGGGCTCAGAAGGAGAGAACATACCCAGTGGAAGGTCAGAGGGGACATCCTGGATAAGGTGGTGCCTGAACATAGACATACACAGACTTAGAGAACCTCAAGTTTATACGAAGTGAAAGATTCAAATGTGAACCTTGGTGAGAGATGAACTGGGCAGATAGGCAAGGGCCAAACCGTGAGGGCTTTATTGGTCAGGCTAAGAAGTTTGGATTTGTTTAGAAGGCAAAGGGGCAAACCACAGGATTTTCAATCATGGGGAAAGAATTATGAGTGTAGTGTCAGGTTTACAATTTAGGAAGATCAGCCAGGAAGCAGGGTGAGAATGGACTGTACATGTGGGGCTCAAGTCAGAAAAAACGGCTAAGTGGCTGTTATGCAACTTAAGTAATGGTAATTCAAGTAACAGTAATCCAAACATGATGAGGGCCTGAATTAGGATAGTGGTAGAGGGAAAAGAGAAAAACAAATGAAGAAACATTTAGGAGACAGAATCCCAAGGACCTGGAAACTGATAGAAGTGAAGTGTCAGTGAGACAGAAGGAGTCCAGGATGCTTCCAGGTTTCTAGTCTGCACTGCTAATTGAACAAGGATGACAAATAGTTCCTTATGACTGAATGCAACAGGCTTTTTATGTTATAGTAACAGCACCTGATGATATTTAATTATCGGAAATAAAAATAATCATTGTGACTGATGGGAGTGTCACAAATGGTAAATTCTACTCTGTGATCTTAAAAAATAAACATTTAGCCCCACAACTGAGCACAACACTGTGAAGTGGACATCTGCCGGAAGCCGGTCCATCCTTACTGCTTGACACAGTCGCTGCAGGGAAGAAACATCTGCACAGCATATATTCCAAGAGACCTGGCATATATGGCATACTGTTCTTAATATGTTTGCTCCCCTTCTTAGTGCTATGTGTTCCAACCAGGGCCACCTCCCTGAGAAAGGTTGTTTCCCCAGATGGGAATGTTTCCCTGGAGTTAGGGATTAACAGGACTAAGGAAGGGAATAAATCAGTAAAACCTCTTAGTGTTACAGGAATACCATATACTACTTATGAAGAACTTAGACTAAGACTGTTGGCCATAAATTTAGGACTTGCTAGGCCCACATCCCCCGGGGTCTACCCACCAGAGAAAGTACCAAAACCTATGCCCCTGAAAACCCACCGACGCAGGGCAGTCCCAAGGAAGACCACCAGCAAGGCTAAAAGGACATAACCTTTACTTGGGCCATAGAATAGGAAAATCTCCTTCAGTTAC